AAAAAAAAACTCAATGAAAGATTTTTCATTCGAATTAAACGTACAATTTTCTCATAAAATTCTTTTGATAATCGTTCAAGAATATTGACTGGTTCTAACATTTCGAATGGATCTAAATCTTCTTGCACTAAAATAATTCAAAATAGATAAATACTTTAAATATGATGAATTAATTTACTGTCAAAATTTGGATCTTCGATAATAACAGATGAAGGGATATTTGTTTCTTCCATTTTTTGTTTAAGCTCTTGTTGCGAACGAAGAAAACGTGTTTGTCGAGGTTTATCAATACCATTTAAATCTAATTTGTCAAATTCAGTTTGTAACTCTTGCATCTAAATTTTTAATAGAAAACAAGAATAATTTTATTTTTTCAAAAGAAAAAATACTTGGATTGGTTTAACATTTTGTATCATTGGCATTAATGTTTGTTTGCCAATCCATTTATAAATTTCAACAATTAATAATTTTGATTCATCACGTACAGTTTTATCTCGATCATCGAGTAATGGAATAACTTGTTTGAGAAATGGTTTTATTGGAAGAACTTTTGAACCAAATTCACTTAAAATTAAATATATTTATTACAGAGAGAGAGGAAAATAACTACGAAATGCTTTTAATGATGTACTATACTATTAGAAAAATCAAATAAAAGTCAGAATGTTTTATCGTTTCACTTTATTTTTCTGTCAAGTACGTTTATAATTGTAAGAGAACATTAATCATACATATTTTCTGTATTATTTGCCTGTGATTATGTCATACATATCTGATGTCTGATAAACGATCAATCATAACATCATGAAAGATTATTGTGACATATTGTCGATAGAAACAATTCATAAGGTATCATTATACTAAGTAATAATCTCAATGAGAATAGAAGTTATAATAAATGTAAAATGAACTATTTGTATATTTAGTAAATTTTACTCTGAATTTGATATTTCGATTTATTAACTTACGATAATCCTTTTCGAAGTAATTCAAGACAAGCTTGAACAATTTTAGGTTGTTTATTTTCAAGACCTTTAACAAGTTCTTCTGTAATTTCTACTTGTTTTTCAATTTCAATATACATTAATATAATATCAAATGCTCGTTCTTTCATTTTCGAACGTCCATTTAAACATTTTGTAATTATTCCTGATGAAACTTCATTTACTGTTCTATTTAAAAGAGAAAAAAATGAAAAATTTCAATCAAATTAAATTGAAAATATCGAATATTCGTACTTTCCAGCTATATTTGCTTCTTCAACAAAAGCAAATACAGCATCTAATGCTTTTTCACGAGCATTTTCATTTGAATCAATAACAAATTTTTTCATTAAACTAACATATTTCATAAATTCTGGACTTTGATCGGAGTTTTGTGTACGAAATAATGTGACACATTCTTCATAACCAGTCATACGAGCTTTCCATGCCTTAAAAGAAAAAAATTTGATAGTTTTAGTTTATTTCTTTTTTCTTCAACATACTTTATGTTGAACTTTCTGATCACATGGCAATTTCTGCCATTCATTATCATCAATTCCACCGTTAGTTGCCATCTAGAATTATATTCATAGATATATAAGGATAATATGATGACATAAATGAGATCTACAGTTCTCGCGGGACAATGAGAATGAAATAGGAGTTCAACTGATGTGATGAGTCATACATTATAATTTATCCAATCTAATTTAAAAGTCAATAATTCATGAGAAGACATATTATTAAGTATAATTAGATATTATTTCAATGTTATTTTCAATTCTAAATTTTTCATACTCATGCGATAGATGTCTCTACTTGTCAATCTCTAAATATTATCGATGCCAATTATTGAGGCTTTAAACACATGGATTAAAAATATAGACAAATAAGTTTAATTTAAAATTTTGATTAAATTGAACAGTATGTTTACATAGAATTATATTTGTAAATTAAACGAACAAAAAACAAAGATAAGAAATAATTATGTGTTATCTTTTATCGTGTTTTTAATACATTATATAACTCATTTGTTTGATTTCGTTCTTTCGACGCTGTATAAAATGGATACCTTATGTATTCATCATGATCATGATGGTATATCCGATGATGAAGTTAAATTATGGCTTAATGGTGTTGTTCCACCAATATATTTATCAAATGGTGAAAAACCATCGAGTAATCCAACTCGACAAGCACTTGAACAAACTCTAACTTGTTTAGATAAAGCATCACAACCAACTTTAACATATTCATCTGGTTTAGCAGCTGCAATTTCAGTTTGTTTAACTTTTTTAAAAAAAGATGATCATGCTATTATTGTTGATGATGCTTATTCAGGAACAACAAATATTTTTCAGTATGAATATTTCATCAAAATACCTTTTTTTTCTTCATCATATCTTATTTCTATAGAGATTGTTTGAGTCGATGGTCAATACACTCATCATTTATTAATCTATCAGAAACACCATCAATTATAACTCAACATTTTCTTCCAAATACTCGTCTTGTATGGCTTGAATCACCGTCAAATCCTTCTATGCGTTTAGTTGATATTCATACAATTTCATCAATTGTTCATTCACATGATTCATCAATAATTGTTATTGTTGATAATACTTTTGCTTCACCTCTTAATCAATCACCACTTTCACTTGGTGCTGATATTTGTCTTTCATCATTAACAAAATATATAAACGGTCATTCAGATGTTATTGGTGGAAGTTTATCAATGAATCGAACAGATTTACATGAAAAATTAGTTTCAAATCAATCGTTATTTCATATGAATTTATCACCATTCGATTGTTATTTAGTTCGACGTGGTTTAAATACACTTCCAATACGCATGCGACAACATATGAAAAATGCTTATCAAATAGCACAATTTCTTGAACGTCATCCAGCTGTTGAACATGTGTTCTATCCAGCTTTACCATCACATCCACAACATGAAATTTATAAAAAACAAGGTGGAGCATCAGGCATGTGTAGTTATATATTAATTGAAAAGGCTGATGTTGAACAATTTCTTCTTGCATTAAAATTATGTACAGTCGCAGTTAGTTTAGGTGGATGTGAAACACTTATTGAATCACCAGCTATAATGACACATCGATCAACATTATATGCAATTGATGTTAGCGGACAAATGTCTGAGAAATTAATTCGAATGTCTGTTGGCTTAGAAAATGTACGAGATATTATCATGGATTTAGATCGAGCATTAAATCGATCAATTAATCAAGATATTATAAATAATAATCTAACTAATAATAATGATGATTTGGAATTAATTGATGAAGCAAAACGTATATCTCATCGTTTATATCAATCTCGTGTACATGTTATAACTGCTGCTTTACGTACAACATCTGGTCGTATCTATTCAGGTACTCATTTTGAATCATCTCAAGCACATGCAAGTATATGTGGAGAAGTTAGTGCTATATCAGCAATGATGAATGATGGTTATCAAGATTTAGCAACAATAGTAGTATTACGTGGATTTGATGAAGATAGAAATCGTTTTGAAATTATAAATCCATGTAATAGATGTCGAGTATTAATTAATGATCTCAATTCTAATGCACAAGTTATTGTGGGAACAACTGATAAACCGATTCGAATGACTATAAGTGATTTGATTTAGTGATTATTTCAATAATATACTTGTAGATAATATCATTTAATACAACAAATGGGAGGGTGAACAACCGACAGGTCTTCAAAAGACAGATACAAATAAAGAGAATGACTATCACTCCGTTCACACTCATAGTCTTATTGAAATGATAAATGTAAACTTAGTTTTTATTGTTTAAAAAAATAAAAAGTTGATTTTGATTTTAATTAAATTAGGCAAGATTCATGCAAACAGCTTTATATTCAGTAAAGACTTCTTCTGAGTATGGATAACCTTCGCGACCTATACCACTATCTTTAACACCACCAAATGGCATTCGAAGATCACGTAATGCCCAACAATTAGTCCAAACTGTTCCACACTAAAAAAAACAGGAAATTTAAACTTTTCAAAAAAAAACAAAAAATATATTTCTCTAATCTTACTTCCATTTGTGCAGCAACACGATGAGCTCGACCAAGATTTTCTGTCCATATACAACCACAAAGACCATATTGAGTACTATTAGCACGTTCGATAGCCTATAAAAATTAATTTTTGATATAGATTAATTGTCGACATAATTTCAAATTTTTACTTCATCTTCAGTATCAAATGGAACAATACAAACAACAGGTCCAAAAATTTCTTCAGTCATTAATTTTGATTTATCATCAACATTTAAAATTACTGTTGGCATTATATAATAACCCTTATTTGTTGCTTTTATATTCGCATCCATTTCACCTGCAGCTATAATTTCATTTCCATCTTGTTTGGCTATTTCAAAATATTTTTCTATTTTATTTTTATGTTCTTTACTAACAACGGGACCCATATTTGTCGTCTCATTAAATGGATCACCGACTTTTAATTTTCTAATGAAAAAACAAAATTTTTAAATAGAAACAAAAATATTCTTATTATACTTGACTTCAGGAATAAATTTTGCAAGAAATTCATCATATATTCCTCGTTGAACATATAATCGACTTGTACATAAGCAAATTTGACCAGAATTTGAAAAACATGATCTAAAAATATTATTAATTAATAGCAAATATATATATTCAATATAAATACCTTATTAAAACTGGAAGCAATTTTGAAAGAACAACATCATCAAAAATAATAGCTGCATTTTTTCCTCCCATCTGAAATTACAATTATTATTTTTATAAATATAAGCTAGAAGAAACTTTTTTCATATTACTTCAAGAGATAATTTGACAGATAAACCAGCTGTTGCTTTTTTAATATGATAACCTGTCATGGTACTACCAGTAAATGAAATAACATTGACATTTGGATGAGTAATTAATGTTTGACCAACACGTGGACCAAGACCGAATACAAAGTTCACAACACCAGGAGGAAGTTCTATACAAAAAAAAAGATAAAAATAAGTACTATGTATATAATAGTTTAAAGTGACATTTTCTTAGAAAAACGCTAATATCAAAATAATTAGTATATACTTCTATTATCTAGCCAGTACTCTTGAGTATCGACATGCTTTTTATATTGAAAATAATAGTTTATTCTAGACATGAGAGGAAACGGAAAGTTACCTATCAGGTTGTAGTAAAATCCTCTTTCTTCTCGAGGTTTTTACTAGCAACTCGATATCGTGTTTCACATATTAATCCTGATGGGATTATGCTAAAAGCTTTTTTTTAAAGTGCTAGGCGAGTATATGCGACAAGTTTAATTAATTTAAGTCATTATTTTTATCAAAAAAAAGAGGAATATTATGTATGTTAACATACACTTTTGGTTCGTTTTCTTATTACTAAAAAGTACATCTCAACATAACTTGAATTTGCTATATGATTCCATGCATGCTATTAACAAAAGTATTACTTCTATTTTTATTCATGTGGAATTAATAAGAAGAAAAGATTGGTTTCATGATAAATATATTTTCTGAAGCTATTAATAACACATGTTCATATGACGAACAATTTTATTCATCAATATTTATTAGGAGAATCATTTAAAAATATATTTATTCGATTCATAATTATATTATTATCAATTATTATTATCTGGTGTTGTTTAATAATTATTTTAATATTTTATACAAGATATCAAAGAAAAAAACAAATACAAAAATTACTTGAATCTCATCATCATGCCTATGATAGTCAAGTAAATTTAACAACGAAACAATTAAATGAATTAAAACAAAGTTTTCGATATCATTCATCATCGAAACCATCTTCTCCAATTGAAAAATTATTTTCACCAATTAAACAAGAACAATTTTTTGCTGCTATAAAAACTCAAACATCAATGCGACAAAAATTTTATGAAGACAATAAATTATCATTAAATTTCAATGGAACACATTCGATTATAAAAGCAATGACAAAACCACCGTTAATCTCCAATCCTAAGAAAGACGACATACAACAACATCCAAAAAATCTCAGTGATAATAAATTAAATAAACAAAATCAATATTTATTAAATATTTGTGATAATACTTCAATAGTAAAATTTAGATCAATTAGAAAGAAAAAAAATAATTTTCTTTTTTTCTTCTAGAAACAAGAAAAGAAATATGTACGACATAGTATTTCAACTGATAATCGCGATGAAAATTTCCCAATAGGAAAATCTTCACAAAAATTTAGTATAAAAATTCGTTCGTATTCAAATATGAATTTAAATTCTTCGCAATTGTTAACAAATACAAATCAAAACCGATCATTTCTACATAATTTAATATCGAAAAAACGACGATATCCATTATTAAATAATGCAAGTACCGATTCCGATAATTATACACGAGATTTACCAACAGTTATGATTACTGATACAAATACATCCTTTACAAATATTGTTGAATTAGAAACATTCGAAGATAAAAATCGTACGACATCTGATATGGAAAAACGTTTAATAAATCAATTAAGAGCATCTCGTCGACCGCGATATTCAACATAAATACATACCTATATCTTGCATTACTTGAGCAAGCATACCAGCTGTAACTGATGTAAATTCACTTGGTTTACAAACACAAGTACAACCGAATGCAATGCATGGTGCTATTTTCCATGTTAATAAATATAGAGGCAAATTCCATGGACTAATCAATACAGCAACACCTACTGGACTTCGTGTTGTGTAGGTTATAGCATTAGGCACTGTTCCATGTTGAGTAAAACTAAATTAGATTATTCTTGGATTTTTTTTATTTCGATAAAAGAAAATGATATTTTACCTTTCACGACTTTGTGTTATAGCTTGTGCAAAGAATCGAAAGTTTTCAACTGCACGTGGGATTTCCAACGTACGTGCTAATGATAAAGGTTTACCTTGATCTAATGATTCAGCACGTGCGAAATCTTCTAAACGCTCTTGTATCAAATCAGCGATTTTATTAAGATAATATGCTCGTTTTGTAGCTGTTTGTCGACTCCATCTGGATAAAGAGAAAAGAAAGAATTTATTTTAAAAAAAAATTTCTTTCATACGCAGGAAACGCTTTTCGAGCTGCTTCAATAGCTTGATTAGCATCTTCTGGTGAACTATCTGCTATATGAGCAATAACTTCTTCAGTACTTGGATTAAAACTATCCAAATAACTTTCTGCTGGTGCGAATTTACCATCGATAAAATTGTTTACGCGTTGAATAGAAGCCATTTTGATACGCTATTTGCTTGTTTTGATGATATGCAGGTAAAGTGCAAGATGTAATCGTTGAAATGATTAATACAGTCGTTCTTAACCTGTTCTGTTTACTTCATTAAGATATTTCGTAAAAGAAATATACCTCTATTTCTTATCATTTAACTTACGAAAGAAGATGTCGTCGTCACCATACTTTAAATAAGAAGTACATTGACTTAGTACATAGATTAAGTTAAAGAGAACGATGAAATGTTTTATTATTTATTCAAGTTTTCGAATTAAAATATTAAAAAAAGATAAAGTAAACTCAAAAAAGAACGACATTAAGTACTTAAAATAATATTTATGTTTTATTTCAATAGAATTAATTTGTAAATGAAATTATGCTTATTGATGTTTAAAATAAAAATAAATGTTTAGTTTTGAATAAAGATACAATATTTTTGTTTAAAAATTAACATTAGCAGAAACACGAACGCCAGCAACTGCATTAAGAACTTTTCTGAAAAGATTATCGATATTGTTTTCATATGCGAGTTGTTGTTGTTGAGCTATTTGATCAAGATTTTGAGCATTTTGAAAAAGTTGAAAATATTCACTACAATTTGATGAAAGAATATTTGCATTAGTAGCACTTTTAAGACATGCGATTGTTTGAGCATGATCCTGAAGAACGTTATTATATGCTGGATTTGCTTCAAGAGAAGTTATCATTTTTTGAGTTTCACTCAGAAATGCTGCAGCTAAAGTTCCATTATCACATAATGTTGATGACCAATCTTCAACAGCGACTGTTGGACCACGGCGCATCATTGGATTCGACGGGAATTTTCGCATCGAACGCATATCACGACCCGAAGCAATGGCCACATGGATCTATGAAGAAATTGTATTTCCATATTATTTAAAAGAAAAACAAAATAACTTACAAGAGTAGCGAAGATAAAAATTTTAATCATATTTTTATGTTTTTGAACAATAACTTTTCTCCGATATTTATATATGAGTTGTCCTGTTGAAAAACAATAAGAGGCGAGAGAGAGAAAAATACAAAACTATTTTTTTTCTTTAATTATAAAGCCACTTCAATAAAATATATAAATAATTAATAATTTTTTTTGCCTAGTTTTAGTGCGATTTTTTCAATATATAAATGTAGTAAACAAGTTTTTTTTAAAAACAATTGTGTATAAACCATTTACTTAGTTACGCGTATGCTATTATTATAAGAAAAAAACATGACTTTTTCTTTTGTTAATTAAATTGTAAATTGAATGTCCTTTTACAAGAAAATCGTTGAACTGTTAAAATATATCTTGCGCATTGAAGTTCGATGAAAATGTAGGCATAGAATATATGAAAATGAAAGAGTTTTTTTTCAAATAACCCAAGAATGTATTCAAATTCATATGTAGACTATCGTAATATTGTATGAATGGTCCTTAATCTGAAAGAGTACTGAAATTTATCGTAATCTCTAATATATTGATCTAAATGAATCGACTACTTGCAGACTCATTATTTAGCTAGTATGAAATTAATATAGATAGTTTTTAATAACAATTTCAAAGATAAATATTATAATCAGATGAAATTTTAATTGATAATTTCTTTACCAGGTTAAGTTTTCATTCAATTCGATATATATATTATTATCTACATTATCAATCTAACTCTTAGGACATTTAATCGTCATAGTATATAATGATAGTCAGACTGTTAATAAATTTAGATAGCTTACAAAAATGATCTCCTTATGATATATTAATATTATTTTTTTCTTTTTATAGAAAGTCTTATCATTAAAGCTTCTTTAAGAAACCTAGATATGCTAAAATTAAATTGCACAATTTGTAAATCATGAAATTTTTACAGAAAAATAAACATTTAATAATGCATGTAATATTTCCTGTTATTGTCAAAAAATGTGTAAATGATGATATATAGAAACTTCAAAATTTAGTTTGAAATAAATCTATTAAATTTTCTTATTTCGATTATGATCACTTCTATTTCTCTTAATGATAGTGCGCAATCCTATATGTAAAATTCATTATGGAAATGGAAAAGAAAATAATTGTCTTTTTTAATTTTTACAATTACTGTTTCATACTTTAAATAAATAAATTTAATTTAAGTAAGAATGGATAACTGTTCTTACTTTTCTATTATTATTATTCAGTTGAACAGCTATAATAACTTCTAAATAAGATATTTTTATCATTGCCGTTAAAATTCTTTTAAATCGAACATATTTTTAAGATAAAAAAAGTTATTCGACTTTATTTCGGAGAATCAACACTACTTAATTATATTAATACGAATGGCATATATCCTTAGTTATAATGAATGCAATTAATTTTCAAAAGATTGTTCTGTTAGCATATTTTTTATTTCATATTAAATTGTTTAGTAAGACAAATATATGAAGAAGATTCATTAAACTATTTCAGGATTTGTTCTTAAAAAAGAATTAATAAATAGATGAACATCAAATTAATCTTTCTTTCATTTTAGAAAGAAAAAAGTTTGTTTTATATGATTGATAATTATATCCTATTCAAAACTAAGTTTAGTCACTGTTTCTCTCTATGTCGATATATTCTTTTCAATTAGTTCAATGTTCGTATCCGGAATCCAGATGGGCTCATTTTTGATTTGCATGAGATGTTATCTTATACATATGATTGTTAACTATCTTTCATTCATTTTTGGTTTTAATTTTAAGTAGATTTTCAAAATATTTGATTTCATTTATTTGGACAAACAACATATTATTTATTGCTTCAATTTAAATCAAAAAAATTGATTTAATTCATGTTTATATCTCCTACACTTCACAGTAGGATTCGAAACCGGAAAGGAAAAGGCTTGTCTATAATTCCATATATTTATTTCAATTGTTTATCTTCTTTTTTTCTAAGAGTGTTAATTATTATAAAAATCAGTAGAAATTTTTTCATTTTTCAAAAAGGATAAAAATTCTTTAGTACATCTAAAATGGATGATAGACGTGTTAAGAAGGTATGAAATGATTCAGTTTGTATTATATTAACTTTTGATGAATTATTTATTTAGTTAACTCATTTATTTTCGTTAAATAAACAAGTAAAAGATAGGAGAAGAAAAAAAGATTTTTTTTTATTTATCGTTGTTTTCTATTTCTCTATAAAGATTTACAAAGATGGTAATGATTGTTTTCTCTGTAGTGCTTGTAAATTAGGTATAACAGATGAATTTTATTTACGTGCTGGTTCAAGAATTTATCATGAAACATGTTTACAATGTTCAGTTTGTCAAATTGTACTTGATGAACAGTCAACATGTTTTTTAAAAGGTGTACATATTTTATGTCGACAAGATTATCATAAGTATGATTTAAAATAAAGTAAAATCTAATTCTATGAATATATCTATTTTCCATATAAGATATTTTTCAAATAAATGTTCAAAATGTACTCGTTTTATTCATCCAAATGATTGGATTCGACGTGCATGTGATAATATTTATCATTTAACATGTTTTGCATGTTATATATGTGAACGACAATTATCAACAGGCGAAGATTATTCTTTAGAAGATGGCCATATTTTATGTAAAATGCATGTTATTAATAGAAATGATGATAAAAATGATGGTAAATTATTAATTTATATTTAAAATTTAACCTTTTGTTTCTTTAGATAATAAACAAAATAAAACAAAAAGAATTCGAACAGCATTTAATGAAGTACAATTACAAATTTTACAAGCCAGTTTTGAAATTGATCAAAATCCAGATGGACAAGAATTAGATCATATTTCTCAAGTAATAGGTACCCAAGAATTGATTTCTACAAACCCATAATTTTAGTTTAATACCAATCATTGAATACTACAGATTAGATATGATGGCGTAACTAGAAAAAAATTGTAGGAGAGGAAGGGATTCGGCCCCTCCAGCCACCATCCAGTTACGCGCTAATTAAGTATTATTGTTTGATAAATCTATGTGAGTCTTCTCAAGTAAGAAAATTTGATTGGGATTTTCAACAAAATCAATTCTTCAATGCTATGATAACTTCAAAGATCAAACTCATTATTTTACATGAATTTAAAAACTTATATAGTTTATCTTCTTCGAATAGATGATTTTTTTTCTTATTATTGATTGTACTTATATATATCTTAGGATTAAGTAAACGAGTAATTCAAGTATGGTTCCAAAATACTCGAGCTCGACAAAAAAAGGTAAGTCATTATTGAATTCAATATTAATATTAGTTTTATGTTTAGCAAAAAGCAATATCTCAAATACAAATGCCAAACAGTGATAGTGATACTTCAATGTCTGATGATATTGGTGATAGTGCGTTAGTTTATATTTCATAAAATGTTTTTTCTTATATTTATTTATAAAAAAATTTATTTATTTATATAGTCTTATCAAAAGAAACTATACAAAATTGGTATCACGATGGTCAGACACTTACGAAAACGATACCACATATAATAAGCATTAAAAATATTAATTTATCTTTATCATCATTCGATCATTATGATTAGGGAATTAAATATTCCTAGATCAACGTGCAAACATTAAAATTTTAGTCATTCTTTTTGTTGTTATTGTAATAAATCTGAAAATTTGAATATATTTGGTATAATGCTAATCAATGAAACATTACTTCGAAATTGTTTTCTTATTTTTCTTACATATTAGCACTCAGTCATATCAACTGATGTTGATACAAAAATATTACCACCTGTGCCACATTTATATCATGTCAGCAGACGATTCTGTTTGAAAATGTCAAATGTTTTCTATTACCAACGAAATCATCAAAAAATAAGTGTACTCTAAACACTTCTATATTAATTTGCATGAAAATAGAAGAAAGTTAAATAATACTTTTTTTACCTGTTAACTAATCAGAACAGTAGAAATTGTTTTTAAATATAATCAGACAAGAACATCCTAGATTCGATAAAATAGTTTCTATTGTTATTAGAAACCACTGAAGCATCATTAAATACTTTGGCAAGTATTTCTTTGAAAAAACTTACAATATGCGAGTGTGGGTGTGGAGAGTAAAATAAATTGTAATTAATAAATTTACCAACATGATATATTATGCATGATAGTCTATACAAAACTTCATTTGAGAAAATTAAAAAAATAGATTCATGACTTTCGTTTTGTTTTCAACGTATTAAAACTTATAATCTACTACAATATTTTTTTTCACCTGTGTTTCTTTAGTACAAGTTTATCTTGACCCACTTAATCGTTTCAACTTGACATTTTTTCGCAAATATGTAAAGAAACGATCGCTCTTTCTCTATAACAATTATAAAAATATCGCTCATCATAAAAGCATTTAGTGGCACTGCATGCATAATGGTATGAATAATAAATTGCGACAGTCGTATACTTTTTTTTTCTTCGTCTTTATTTTTTTGCAACAACAAAAAAATAATGAATGGTTGCCGAGCTCTTATAAGACCTTTTTTTTCATCGTGTCCAAAGTGTTTGCTTCCTTCATTTATTCATCAAATCGAAGAAAAATATATTTTTTCTCTCTCTTGTTTATTAAACATCCAGAGTAATTTTAACAGAATGAAAAAAAAAACTATCAACGTATAAATACTATTGAATGATATAAACTTCATTTCATAAATAGAAAAAAAAACCTGGTGAAATAACGCAAATGAGTTTATATATTCTTATACTTTTTACAACAGCTGTTGTTATTAACGGACAATTAAGTAAATTTATTTTTTAGTTTAAAATAATTTATTTTATATTGTTTAAAATTATTAAGATTGTTCAACATATAATCCATGTGGTCGTAATGGATATTGTTTTGATATTGATAATGGTGAATGGAGTTGTGAATGTAAATTTTGGTGGTCAGGTTCAACGTGTAAGGATCTAACAAATAGTGGAGTACAAGTTATTGTACTTGGTTGTTTATTAGGATTACTTGTTATACTTTTCTATGGTTTACAAATTTTTCATAAAATCCGACTTAAAAAAAAACAACCAAAAGAAGTTAAAGAAAAGTAAATATCATTATTTTTTATTTTTGAATTTTATCATCTATTAATTATAGAAAAATTGTATATAATACAACATTAATTGATCTAGCATTTAAAAATGCTAGACGATCAGCTCGTTTATCATCGTGCATAATCGGTGTTTTAACGATGATCTTAGCGGCTATTGGACTTATTTCAAAATGGTCATTAATTCAACCAATACACAATGAAATTGTGAATAAATATGAAACAAATCAATCACTTTACTATGTGGAAAATTCGTTCTGTGATAAAACGGATTATGATTATTTTAATGTTGTTACATTTCCTATTTCATGTTTTTTAATTGTTTTATTTATAATAACTACAAAAAGAACATCACTCTTCCGTGATAAACTTTGGGGATATGGAGCA